TGATCATTTTAATAGATGCAGAAAAAACATCTGACAAAATCCAACATCCATTCATAATTAAGAACTCTCAGAAAACTAGGAGTAAAAGGGAATTTCCTCAACCTGATAAAGACCATCTACAAAAATCTACACCTGATACACTTAATGGTAAAAGACTGCATGCTTGCCCCCTAATACTGGTGACAAGGCAAGGATGTGTCTGATATCACCACTCCTTTCACCATCATACTGGAAGGTCTAACCAGTGCAGCAAGACAAGAAAAAGAAATAAAAGGCGTTGGAAAGGAAAACTGGAAAGACTGGAAAAAAATAAAACATTTATTATAAATAATAATCTGCAGACATGACTACGTAGAAAACTTTTAAAAAATCTACATAAGTGAATCTGGCAAGGTGTCAGGATACAAGGTCAAAATACAAAAATCAATCGTATATCTAGATATTAGCAATGAACATTTTGGAAATTGAAAATTTTTAAAGTACCATTTACAAAAGCACACACAAAAAAACCGATAAAGTACTAACAATATATGTGCAAGATCTGTATGCTAAAATCTAAAAACACTGATAAAAGAAATCAAAGACCTATATAAATGGAGCAACATGCTGCATTCATGGATTGGAGGACGAATATTAAGAGGTTCACTCTCCCTGAACTGGTCTATGGATTCAATGCAATCATTATCAAAATCCAAGCAGGTGGTTTTGTTCTTGTCAGCAGGCTGATTCTAAAATGTACATAGCAAGGCAAAGGAACTAAAATTAGCAAAGCAGTTTTCAAAAAGAACATAGTTGCATTACTTATGCAAAGCTACAGTGATCACGCAGTGTAGTATGGGTGAAAGCTCAGACGTATAAACTAATGGAATAGTTCAGAAATAGGCTAATGCTGTGTCAACTGATTTTCAACAAAGGTGCAAAGAAAAATGAACCTCAATCTATATATGGTACATATATAATTTTTATATGTAAACATATACAAAAACCAACTCAAATCAATCAGACGTAAATATAAAAACTGAAAACTATTAAACTTCTAAAAATATTAAAAATTTTGTCACCTTAAGTTAGGCAGATTTCTTAGATATGACACCAAAAGCATAACCCATTAAAGAAAAAGTTGAAAAAGTGGACTTCTGTGAAAATTAAGAATTTCTGCTCTTCAAAAAGCTCTGTGCAAAGACAAACCTCATACTGGGAGAAAATATTTATAAAGCATATGTGATAAAGTCTGGTATCCAGATTATAGAAAATAATATCTGACTAGAAACATGTAAACACAAATTGGGTTACCATTTTTGACTTTTTCTGATTGACCAAGATAAAACACGAGGTTTTTGTCCATTATTGAGAGTGTGAAGATAGGGGTGTATTTGTGATGGAACTTCCATTTTTGGAACAGAAATTTGACAATATGTACCAAATCTTAAATACACCCATATCCTTTAATACAGTAATTACAGTTCTAGGAGTGTATCCTAAAAATCTTACACACCAAGGCTGGTATGTATGGTCACTATTCCAATATTTCCACTTGCGAAAATGAAAATAAACATCAATCTTGGTAACAGGCACTAGTTAAATAAATAAAGGATCAGCCACAGATTATGAGGCTATTCAGAGGGGAAATCTGGCTTAAAGTATGCCCAGAAGAGAGAGAACAAAAGAATTCATACAAATGTGAATGGGAGTTTTCTCTGCATGATTAACTGCTGGGGTATTTTTTCTTTTTTTGGTCTATCTGAAGAACATGTATTCAGAAGGCAGAAGTTACTTTTTTTTTTAAAGGAATTTAGACATTCCAGAGTTAAATCAGCATAAGCGTGCAACATGAAAGTCCTGGTCTCCTTGTTAAGGAGAAAGTGAACATGGTACATAAGGATCTGATTTTGCAAGGGGAAGGGGGCAGACTGAGTTATCTATGACTGAAAGGGCAGTTCATAATTCTCTTCCAGTTTCATTTTTGCTACTTCTCCCGTAAGGTATGACCATGACAGCATAGTTGATATTTGGGTTCCCCCTCCATCACTCACTCCAGGATCATGTTGAATAGCGGTTTTATTTGGGCATAAATACACTTCGGACTTTCCCTTTATCTGGTTCCCAAATTTGGTTTTTAATAATGAAGCTCTTTCAATATAGAAACAGAATCTCATTTATGCATTCTCAAAAATACAAAAATTGTGTTGGTCAAGGCTTAACTGGTGTCCCCTAGTGGGAAAGTCCTCAAATAACTGGCTGCTGTTCATGTAAGTGCAGAACATTTTTAAAAGGTAAATAAATACTAGCTTTCTCCCTTTAGGCCAGTTTAATTATTTTTGTTTGCCAAATTGCTCCTTTTGCAGGAAACTAAATTTTGTAGTGCCTTCCTTTTTATAGGTAGGTGCTAAGGTGGGCCTTTTCATACGTATTATTAACTTTAAGCCTGCAAGGTGGGCGTTCATTTCTTACACAGTAGGTCACAAAGTTCAATACCATTATGCAATAACATGTCAAGGAGACAAAACTCAATTTATCATTACACTTAAAACCAGCATCTGAGAACCTCAAGACTTTGTAAATTCTCTAAGCTTTTGATTAACACCAAAGAGTGAGACATAATGTCTTGACCTTATATGCAGTTACAAGATGAAGCGGAACAAGTTTCCAAGGCTTTCTGGAGAGGAGGGGTGTGTAAAAAACCTCTTTTAACCATGGTGTCTCTCTCACACACACACAAAGCTTTAATTATCAACCGTCTGAACAGATAAGTATCTAAAATAGTAATGCTCTCAAATACTACAGTAAAATTGACTCGATTCTTTATTACCTAGCATAAACCTGTCTTTTCTTTCTTTTTTAGGGGTAGGGGTTGGGCTTGGCTTTGTTCTTCCAGAAGTGCACATTACTATCCCCCCTTGAATTTTTATGCGGTAGAAAGAAGATGCTGAAGCAGTGTTCCCCAACAAGGTAATGGTTTAAATTTCACTAAAATACTTCTATCAGTAACTGTTTAGCTTTCACAAATAATTTTCCAAGAACCAACATGTTACTTGTATAAATACTGTTACAAACTAAAAGAACCTCAGTTTTATTATTTTTAGTTTTCCTTAGGAATGTCTGTGAACAGAATAATCCTCACATTGAAGGTTGTTTTTTAAATCCTCACTTAATTTGAAAGGAAAAAGAGTGTGTGCATGTACTTTTCTATTCCAAAGTCTCAGGGCTTCACAGAAGAAAGCTTAATATCCAGTAGTTAAGTTATATAAACATGAATTTATACAGATACAGATTTATATAACTATTGCCCAGCCACTAAATCAAGATCAAGAGATTAACAGAATGAAAGGTTTTTTTCCTACCATAACTTTTCAAAAAGGTTAAGACAGAGGGATAGAATATGTATATATTTGTAGGTGTCAAGAGAATAGGAGAATACAAGCAACTTGACAAGACTAAGTGTATTCTATAAAAGATTAACCACGACCATGAGTGGCTGGGCTTATAGTTTGCTACACCAAAGAAATTAAAAATTGATACTTGAGAATATTGTTATAATAATTTATAATAGCATTCCTTTATAGAGGCATTTTAATTTAAGCAATGTTTCTCTCTTAAATATATAAAACTAACCCTTAGTGTCATGGATGAGAATCGTCATAGCTACTGCTAAATGAAAGAACAATTCCCAAGAGCTGTTTGATGGTGTTATTTTAATACCTACACCCAAACTTTAGGGAAGCAATCTCCCAAGAAGATCTTCTGGAAAACTGCCTGATCTGCTCATGGCAGGGGAATAGCCCACTTCCAAGTCAAGCATGAAGAAAAACACAAGTTATGAATGTACCCAAGATCCCCAAATAAATTAGTAAAAGTGCCATTATTTTAAGAATTATCAGACATATAATCAAAGTGTTTAAACACAAATTCAAATTTGTTCAGTCCAAAAGATACAGTAATTTTATTACATATAATTTCTCCTGTGTGCTAAAAATGTTGACTTACAAGACATAGTATCTGTATAAGTGTAGAGGGAATTACGGTGGAATTCTTTAATCATTTTTCATTGGTGAGAAGAGAACAATAAGGTAGTGGACAAATAATAAGAAGCACTCAGAGTCCTCTAAAATTCAAGGTTGTATATTACTGCTCAACCAAAACATACTACCATTCTCTAATATAAATGCCTACTCATTTATCTTTGAAAAATAAAGGTCATTCTTTCTCCATTAAAGCTTCTGCAAGATTGACACAAAGGTTCATTCTACCTATTAAAAATAGGGGTACTCTTCATCTTTGGATAAGGTATCACCATTTAGGGAAAATGTAGTCATATACATATTACTAAATTTTTATTTGAGGCAGCTGTTGGAATCCATTAAGCACTTTTGGAACACTGTACCTTTAAAGTTTGTCTTTAACATTAATAGCTTTGGAAAACCAAAAATAAAAGAAAAACATCTATGACAAAGTACATTTCATTCAGATTTGATAGCAGTAAAATACAAAAAGAAAAATTTAGTGCAGTGTCCATTTTATCTATGTAAATCACTTGAGGATAGTTTTATGTTATAGTTTTATGACTGACTGATAAAAAAAGTTTTAACTTGTTTAAAAACTTTAAGACTTTGACTTAGTATTTAGTAACACAAAAATGAAATTAAGCACTGTAAAGTCTTTAAAAATGAAGTTCTACAAATTTGGTTCCCATTTACAACAGTTTCATTAACAGATAATGAATTAAGTGTAGATACAATGTATCCAATACCCTTATAACTACAGTAAAAAAAAAAAAATCTAGTAGCATGTATAGATCATGATATCCTTAGTAATATCAATATATAGTCAAAACATGTTCATACAGAACCAATACCTCTCCTCCATGTAAAAGAACACTTGTTAAAAATAATTAACAAAAATACCCATAAAACAATGGAACCTCATTTCATTTCACTGCACCCAAAGCTATGACACAAAATATTGGCTTAAAGGGGTAGATTAAAAAGAAAAAGAAAACCAGATTCTCCATTCTTTGTCACGTTTATTCAGTAGTAGTTTTTTTTTTTCCTTATTTTCAGTGCCAGACATGGCAAGGAGTGATTACAGCCAACTGTTATTAAAACATTTGTTCGCAACATATACCCCCTTTACCACTGACCCCAAACTGACTCGTTTTGTGTGCTTTCGTTCTTTCCTTTTTTATACCACCACCAAGACTGGGTGGAGGGGCAAGGGTAAGAGAGATGAAGGGGAAGAGTCCAGGAGGCCAGAAGAGGAGGAATGCTACAAGCCACAGTAAGAATGAGCTGTATTTAATTTAAAAAAGGGGGGAGGGGTGTACCCCACAAATGATACAGTAATGAGGATACACAATTAAATCCCATAAGCATGACTGAAGGCTTTCACTTGTGTTTGACGTCATCACAATGGAAGGCATAAAAAGTGGAGTAAATCAATGTTGATACAGTCCAATCTAGTCCATTAGGCAAGATGGTGCAAGAAGTCATTTAAATTAAAAGTGCCCTACCCTTACCTAAATGGCTAGCAGACATGGAGAACACCACAGTGAGGAATCCACAGAGCTTTCTCCATGTAGCTATTAAAAATGTGTTGTCGAATGGCACATTGTCAAACACTGGAAAAGGGGCGCCACAATGGACCTCTCTTTTTTAAGTATGAATGCTAGATTCAACTATCTCAACTAAGCAGGAAGTGGGCTCTTCTGCTAGGAATGCCAACCCTAATTCACTTTGTCTTGAAATATATACAGATTGTTTGTAGTAGCTACAGCAATGATATTTTCCTTGGGGTGCCAGGCTGTATGAAGTATTTTCTTGTTGAAGTCTAGGCTGTCAACGCTTATTTCATCTTTCTTTCGCTTGCCACTTGCACACACTTTGCGTGGCTTCAGAACTGTGCGAGGTTTATTGTTTTCCCGTGATGCTTCTAGGGTTATGTCTCGCTTTGTGTTCCGGTCAAACATTCTGAAGAAATTATTGTAAGATCCAGTCATGACAACACTGTAAAAGTAGACAGAGCACTCAGTCAAATAATGAACATTAGTTTTCAATGGTGAAACCTTGCCTAGTACTCCAAAGAAAGAGCTACTTCAAGCAGATTTGGATTTAAGGAGGGGGCGGCTGACACCAACCCAGGGAACAATCACTGGAATAAACTAGGAATATAGTATTAGTAAACTTGATTTTCTATTAATGACTCCTTTTCATGACTACCAAAACTGTCAGCAAAGTTGAAAGCATCCTCAAGTAAAGCTTGTTAGTAGTACTGAATTATCAGTTGAATATTTTTGCAACTTCAGTCTATGCAACCAACTAGACCAGCCAGCTTCTACCAACCAACAACAAAAAAACCAAAACAATGGTATACAGCTTTCTGTAAGAAACCAATGCTTTATTTTATGATTTACATTATAAGCTATTTATGTCCCCAGGACACTGTCTGGTTCAGACAATAACATCTTATGTATGCTTATAAGAAATCTGCTTCAGAGTATATAAAGAAAGTAGCATATACAACTATTATTAACAGAAAATCGTTTAACCTGTAACACTAAATATATTTTAAGCATTTTTTGACAAATATTTTTAATAGTATCATTTTACAGGGGCACCACATTCTTGCCTATTAACCCTAAGACGATTTCTCTGTCAGTCCTACTCGCCATCCATCACGGCTCAACATCTGCTAAGCAGCCCAATGAGCAAAACTTCACATGTTTGAAACCATTAATAAATTACTTACATCCTTCCCACATGGTTTAAATTATTATTGTAAATAAGATTATAGGACACCGGGAACTGTTTAAGGTAATGCTTGAAAACATCTCTGAATACTTACAAATATTATATATTATACAGGGTCACATATTAAATACAAATGATCATGACCTATTCATTAATGTCAATTCTCCCGAAGGACACTTCACAACATTTTAACCAAACTCAGGTCGGTGCATATTCCTGAAGGTAATAAAACTGTATTTCTTTTAAAATAATTTCTGTAGTTTAGACTGGCATCCCCATGTTAGCTGAACTTGTGAGGTTTTAATGGATTAGGGCACCTAGTCTATGCTATTTTAAAAGGTGTTGTTAGCCAGCATTTCTGTGGTATTCTTGCCAAAAATGTGTAACTGGAATCTAAACACGAGAGAATATTAGACAACACTCAAATTAAGGAAAATTCTACAAAATAAATTGCCTGTGGTTTTCAAAAAAGCAAGGTCATGAAAGACAAGGGAAGAATGAAGAACTTTTCCAGATTAAAGGAGACTAATGAGATGTGAAAATTAAATGAAACATATACTTTTGGACTGGATACCAGATTTTTTTTCTCTGCTAGAAAGGACATCATTGAGAGAACTCGTGTTATTTATGGGGATCTGTGGATTAGACAGCAGTACTGCATCAATGCAAATTTTTCTGCTTTAGATGCCTATACTGTCATTATATAGGAGAGTCTTTCAAAAAAAATTTTTTTATGTTAAGGGAAATAAACAATTTTTCCTGACAATGGAACACGACATTTAAACACTATGAGGACGAGCTGGCCGTAGCACTGCGCCATATCCTGCTCCACCAGTGTCGCCTTCCCTTTCCTGTCTCCTTGACGCCTCGGGTGAGCAGTGGCATTCAGATTCGAAGCCTGCTTGCTCCTACTCCAGGTGTGCTGTGGCCAGCCTACAGGGCCTCATATTATAATCAGATAAAAACAATTTTAAAAATCAGACAAAAGATAAATTATCCAAGTTCTATTATATTCAAAAGCACCATGAAACCTGACTCTTATTAAGCTTCGGCAATAAAACCATTGTTGAATACTCATTAATGAGTACCTTGAAAGCAAGTTAATAATTCCAGAATTATGTTTTCTTTTACTATTGTCTGTTCTATTGGAACATAATAAATAAATACTGACATTTAAAAACGGAATGATTAAGACTTATTTATCCTTCGAAATAATGGTACACATTTTGATGAAGTTGTGGATTATAAAAAGCTTAATTACTCATGGTAATATGGTTAAAATAATACATGGTAATTACCTCTTCTCTTCTATGAGGTATTAATGTAGTACCTGGAAAAACCAGTGTGTAACGCTGCAAATGAAGTATCTACTGCCTAAATATTTCTAAAAACAATTTAATAGCAAAGTAACAACCAAACTGAAATTTCACCATTTTAACCACTGGCATGTCAAAAATGTGATTGATCTGGTTCATAAAAGGTAAAGTTTAAAATTTATATCGTAATATATTATATCTAGAATTTTTTGGGATACTTTCACATTTACTAGTGAAACATAATGTTTAATTTTTATCTGCCAATACTGCTGTAAGATTACTAAATTTATTTCAAGGAAACCCTAGGGAAAATGAAGTTGGTAAATGTAATTTATGTCAGTTTAAAGACAGGTTGGCCGTTAGTAAATGTAGCAACCATACTAGGAGTGAAATAGTAAATTTCTCTCCTCTAATGAAATTCAATTTGAATAAGGGGTTCAGTTCAAATTAAAATCAATTTACCTGTCAGATCCATTCCAACAACATTCAAATTTGTCAAATATGCAGTCATTTTCATATAGTGAACAAAGTTTACTTCTGAGGTATTCATGCACCTGGGGAAAAAATAAATATATATGTATACTTAGCTTACACCTTAAGATCTGCTGCTCTTGAAATTAGAAAATGGTTTAACAAATCTATATATTTTTAAGGCATATACAAACATGTATACATACCTTTTAGTCTCATTAAAACTCAATTCTCAAAACAAACAAACAAAAAAACTCAGTTCTCTGAGAAACAGTAAAGGTATTTTATCCTTTCACAGACATCTGATCCGCCTTCCATGAACACACATTTTCCTCTCATACAATAGAGAAAAATACCCTTCTGGGCATAGCACATGTACTCTTTACAAGCTCGACTGAAATATTTAGGCCAGAAAACATTTAAAACTGGCACAGATAAGAGACTAATTAAAGAATATTATAGCAATATTTGAATTTGCTAACACTTGATTTTCAGCCCATTAATTGTTGATAAAAAACATGCAATACTGTGGCTTTACTTCCTTTTTCACTACCATTTTTGGGGCATAAATAACTGAAGCCTACAATACCTTATTAAGTGCATACGTTATGCATTGCATGACCCTGCCCTAGTTTGGTGATAAATTATATGGTTATTCCAGGTATGTGTTATGGAAATATTTGATATACTTGTTATTACTTATACAATATCCAAAGATAATGAAAATGTAGCTCTGTTTTTTGAAGTATAATTCTATGTTTACTCACTAGTATTTCACAAAGGGATCAACTAGAAAATAAATTAGTTACATAAAAAGTATTCTGAGAAATGATACAATTCTATATTAATATTACTAAATTACAAAGGACAGTTCCAAAGTATTTGTTGTGATCATAAGGAAAAAGAACAAGTTTCTGTCTCACTATTCTTTTTTACTTAAAGGGAACCTTAAAAAGAAGTAATGATAGAAAAGAGTAGGTACCTTGGGACTTCCCTGATGGCACAGTGGTTAAGAATCCGCCTGCCAATGCAGGGGACACGGGTTCAAGCCCTGGTCCAGGAAGATCCCACATGCCGCGGAGCAACTAAGCCCATGAGCCACAACTACGGAGCCTGCACTCTAGAGCCCACAAGCCACAACTACTGAGCCCACGTGCCACAACTACTGAAGCCCGCACGCCTAGAGCCCATGCTCCGCAACAAGAGAAGCCACCGCAATGAGAAGCCCACGCACCGCAACAAAGAGTAGCCCCCTCTCGCCGCAACTATAGAAAACCCACGTGCAGCAACGAAGACCCAATGCAGCCATAAATAAATAAATAAATAAATAAATAAATTTTTTAAAGAGTAGGTACCTTCTCAATGCTTAGAATTCTCTATGAAACAACCTAAAGTCATTTTAACTGTCCATTTCAATTACACATATTCAATAATAGCTGAATCTGCATATGCTACATTTGAGCATGATGTGACTCTACTCCCAATCACTAATCTAGTACAGCATAGGTAGAAAACTGCAAATCAGGTAAAACAGGTAAATCATGATAATTCAGCCAAGTTTTAGAGTGCACATACAGGGTTTCTCACCAAACAATGTAAGAGAATGAAGTTAAGGTTCAGACCAATTATTCTCAGTGGGAATGGGGTGGTGGTGGTGACAGTGATGGTGGTGCGGATCACTAGGAGATAGATCAGAATCTCGGCAGTTACACAAATGTAATTTAAAAACAAAGCAGTATTGTATCCCTTTGTTGTTTCAATGTAGCATTTATTTTGAAATTTCAAATACCATTAAGGAGACTCTTAAGTGGTTCATGTTTGTCAAAGAGGATTAAAAAGTTTGAGAAACATCCTTCTAATTTTACTGAGAACATACAATGTAAAGAAGGTACCATTTATAAATTCTGTGTTCCTAAAGCAGTGTTAAATGTTTTCTACACTGCAGCTTAGGGCATAACACAGGTTTCTACTGGCCCCCCAACCCTGTTCCCAGCTGTGCACATCTTCATTCTCTTCTCCAGAAGAAAGGGATCCACGGTAGTGGCTTGGCTGACAAGAAGAGAATCCAAACTGACATCCTACAACAGAAAGGCAGCTCCTAAAGCTGTCTGCTGGGTTCTCACAAGTCCTTCTCCTTTAGGTTAAGACAACAGTTATTAGCCAAAAGGAGAATGCCAGTTCACTTGACTGGGCACACCAAAGCTAAGCTCTAGTTCAACTAGCACGATCCAGACTCCATCCAGGACACCTCGACTAGGACTGACCATTCTCCCCAATCCTCTTCCCCCAGACCTTGATAGAGACCGTAATTCCATCCTCACTTTAAATGTAGATAACAGGGGAAAAAAGTTATTACCGAACCAAATTGGTAGCTTTACACTTTAAAACTGAATACACAAACACAACCTATAAAAATATATATAAATTTAACATAAGCAAAGGCAGTGTACTCATGGATCTCTGAAGGAAAAAGCCTAATGGTGAACACGCACTGCACTGTACTGGGATTAACACATAGTACAAAATCCTTCTCTATGAACACTTAAAAGTAAGTAAACAGGTTATATACTCACTGAAAGAAAAAATTGCAAATACCTGGTATGTTTCCACAGGCCTGTTTTCCATATTTAAGTCCCAAATTTTGACTGACAAATAGTCTCTAGTCATCATATATCGACCACTATGGCTGAATTTTACATCAGAAATTGAAGAGATGATTTCAGAAAAAAAAGACCTGTTACTCGGATCTTCAGGTTCTTCAAACACTAAAAACAAGCAAAATAGGAGGGCTGAGGGCAATTTGTAAATATTCTGGCTTGGACAAAGCATTTACTCAAAACACCATTCATCAACTTCCTAAGAGTGAGCTAAAAATGGCAGAGTAAATAAAGAACCGAAAAACATCTCTCTGGCTGTAAGAACATACCCTCCCTGAGAGTTTCTTAAGAGAATGAGAGTGACTTAGTACTGAAGTTGAAGATGCAAAAGGACGTATGTAGCACAGCACCTTCCAGAGTCATTTGGCTAATTCAGCAGAACCAGACCCACTCAAGATGTCTGACTTCAGTGCACCAATCTGAGGTCCTGCATATACCTCACTGACTTTGCCTGTACTGTCACCATGAGAAACACACCATCCTCACCATTCCAACTCATACCCGCATTTTATTTTTTTAGTGGCCTGGTAAAATTATTTTGATAAGCAGCATGTACCAATCTTCATGAGTTTTTAAAATCTTCAACAACTTGAAGATAAGAATAATGCAATCCTTTAATTTTTTTAACCTGGTACTTTTCAAACTTGTTTAAGCCAAAGAAACCTCATCTCAGAAGAAATCTTCCTAGGAAGCTCAAAACATAAAGGAAGAAAGGAAGGGAGAGAACAAAAGAGAGAAGGGAGGCAGGGAAGAAAGGAACTGCTCTACTTGAATACACGACTGGAGAACCCAACTCAAGTTCCCAAGGAATAGCATTCCATTAAAAATACATCCACTGGGACTCAACAGACATGCCCCCAAGACAGCCTTCTATGCTCTTCCAGTAGAATAACCTATAATCCCTCATGTTGAGTCAGACAGCTTACCAAAGGGAACAGGAGGTTTAAGACTTGTAAACCTATGTAAATGTAGTTACCATGTCTGAAGACAAACAGAAAATGTTATCATTTGAAAACAAGATGCAATAAACTTACGTTTAGAATGCCTATCACAGAGGGCGGATGCCCTCATGTCACATAACCGAATAGTTCCTTTACTGCTGCTGTATACAAATGTGTTACAACTGTTTGGATGGAATTCTGCTGCTGTAATCACCTCTGTCAGCTCCTCCATATTGGCAGGCTTGATATCCACAATATCTGGACAGCATTTTATTAAGGAATTTCCACTTAGAAAAAAGGTCAAGCATAATTTTATGTTTTTCAAATCTAAAATTCATTCATAGACTTAAGCACAACTATTAATTCTAAACTGCATATTACTACTTACATGGGTATAAATCCCAGAGGGATCAAAACTCTTAATGCTTGAAAAAAAGTCTGAGACGAAAACACGGGCGAATTTTAAATCACCTTAGCATGTAGAGGTCTTTTTTTTCTGAGTATGATAAGCCATAAGAAAAAGACTGACACACCATCTTCCTAAATATTAAGAACTTAGTGTACACTCCAAACAAAACAAAAGGAAAAATCTGTACGGCGGCAAAAAAGGGAAACTGTTCACACACAAACAATGGAGCTGATTTACTTGATGTCGAAAAGGTGCTTTAAAAACAAAGAAATTCCAATAAGAATATAGGCAAATCCAACGAAAAAATATGGAAAAGAACAAAAGAAATATAAATGGTTGATAAATACGAAAACATGCTCAAATCTACTCAGGATGAAAGAAGCGAATCAAAACGAGAAGTTTTCACTAACTAGACTGCTAAAGGTATAGGAAAACAGGCTCTTTTATACACTATAAACATACCTCATTTCATTGTGCTTCGCTTTTATTGAGCTTCACAGATACTGCATTTTTTTATAAATTGAAGTTTTGTAGCAACCCTGCATCTAGCAAGTCTATCAGCGCCGTTTTTCCAACTGCATTTGCTCACTTTGTGTCTGTCACATTTTGGTTATTATCACAATATTTCAAACTTTTACATTATTATTACATTTGTTATGGTGATCTGTGATCTTTGATGTCACTATTGTAATTGTTTTGGGGTGCCATGAACTGTGCCCACAAGATGGTGAATTTAGTCAATTGTGGAAAGGACAACCAAGGGCTTAGAACATTACATAAACTTAGTTGATAAAGCAGCGGCAAGGTTTGAGGGTACTGACTCCAGTTCTGAAGGGAAGTTCTACTGTGGGTGAAATGCTGTCAAACAGCACTGCAGACTACAGAGAAATCATTCATGAAAGGAAGAGTCAAAACTGACGTGGCAAACTTCGCTGTTGTCTTATTTCAAAGAAGTTGCCACAGCTCCTCCACCCTTCAGCAGCCACCACTACAGGTATGCCTGTATTGGTAGAGTATGAATAATAGTAGTGTGTTAATTTTTCAAATGATACCTATTTGGAAAGACATACATTAATACCAGTTATAATAACTAACATTTATCAAGAAATTAAAAACATATATACGTTTCTATATTTATATGTATATAGTATATGTGTGTGTATATATCTGATATATCACACACTTGTATATGCACAGAAAAATTTCAGGAGGATAACATAAACAATGAAAATGAGGTTTGGGAAAGTATTTATACTGCCATGCATCATGACTTGTATGAATTTCTTTTTCCAATCTTATTTTTATAATTAAAAACATTTTTTAAGAATAATACTCCAGGGCTTCCCTGGTGGCGCAGTGGTTGAGAGTCTGCCTGCCGATGCAGGGGACACGGGTTTGTGCCCCGGTCCGGGAAGATCCCACATGCCACGGAGCGGCTGGGCCCATGAGCCATGGCCGCTGAGCCTGCGCGTCCGGAGCCTGTGCTCCGCAACGGGAGAGGCCACAACAGTGAGAGGCCCACGTACTGCAAAAAAAAAAAAAAAGAATATACTCCACATATTTGTTTCTGTTACAAGAAACAGCTATTTAAAAAATTTTCTATTTTCATAGGTACAAACAGATGAATTCCTTAAAATTCTAAGAATCTAATTTTTAAATTGATACGTTATGCTTTTTATCAAATAACTTCAGCCAGTGTTTAATCACTTAAACACAAAGAAAAAATGGTATAAAATAAGAAGCTACTGTAAAAAGAATCAAAACACACTAAGGAGAGATGAAAATAAATCCAGTATGGGCACAACATGCGTTCTTTACCAAACACCAAAAAAAAGAAACCAAATGGATACTAAAACTCCTGTCTGTAATTTCCAGGTGCCAAAGATTAATCCGCAAATCATCTGCAGATAAATACGTTTCGTAATCACTATTAATAGAAATTGAGTTGATGTGATATGTATGAGCATTGGCAAATATTCGTCGTGGACTGGCCTCAACCATTAGATCCATGGGCCTAAAGACCGGCACCTGTCAACAAGACACATGAAAAACCGTTGATTACAAAATGTTTATTGTTTACAAAAGCACTGAAGGTCCAGAATACTTCATTACTCCAGTTTTTGAGGGAACATAAAACAGTATAATATTACACAGATTTAGTTTTATAAAGCAACTGATGTTTGACTGCTTATTTAAAGTGTTAAAATGGGAAGAAAAATGAAAAATCTGGAAAATTTACCTTCTTTTACAGAGAGCAGTACTATGAGAATTTGCAGTTTCTCCCAGTTTCAATCTTTTGCTTGAAAGACTTGCAAAGCTAATAAATGTTTATAATTTAAAGTGGCTAAAAAGGAAATTAGCCCAAAGCATCTAATTCTTGGTATTTTTTTAATTGCAACTAAAAGATTTAGTCCATTTCTACTTTTTTTGATCTCCAAAGAAAGTTAACCTTGAAACTTAACCTTCTAACAGCTGACAATCAAACCATGAGAGCAAAAGAGAGTATGGTGGCACAGTATAAAACACAGGCTTGTGCTGAGTCCTGGTTCAGCCCCTGACCACAGTGAAACCTCTCTGTAGATCAGGGTCTGTTTAATATTTGAGTTATTAATGTTCTATCTGGTTACCGAATCTTGGGAAAGAGCAGACTGTAATTATTCCTACTGATGTTCTGCTGACTATCTATAATATATAACAGGAATACAAAATGTAATTCATCAGAATTAGAACCTTTTTTTTTTTTTAATGTACTTACACGTAGTGTAGTGACTGTAGTAGGATCTCTATACCTTCCATCTTCCTCTTTCAAGTTATACCCTTCTGGTCTTTTGTCCCTTTCACTGATTTTCCATAATTTTATTGTTTTATCTGGGGAGAAAATAAAGAAAGTCCTCAAAAAAAAGATTAAAACTGATAGAAGAAGAACACTTTAAGATATATTTAAACACACCATTTCGTATCCCAAGAATAAAATCCGTGATCTGACTTAATAGAAAACAAATTTCCTACTACCAGATGAATAAAAACATCCATACACAGAAAAACAGTACAGAAATCGCATATTTATGTTACTGGCACTTGTAAAATTCCATTTGATATTAAAATCAAGTCACAGCCAGGTCCTTATCCTTCAAAAATAATTAAACCTAAAGGGAAAAAATTGTATATTTATGTACATATAAACACATATATGTCTATACATATATACAAACATATACATATATAATGCTTAATATTTAATTTTGCCAGGAGATGGAAATAACCTAAGTGTCCATCATCGGATGAATGGATAAAGAAGATGTGGCACATATATACAATGGAATATTACTCAGCCATAAACAAACGAAATTGAGCTATTTGTAATGAAGTGGATGGACCTAGAGTCTGTCATACAGAGTGAAGTAAGTCATAAAGAGAAAGACAGGGGCCTCCCTGGTGGCGCAGTGGTTGAGAGTCTGCCTGCTGATGCAGGCTCAGTGGCCATGGCTCACGGGCCCAGCTGCTCCGCGGCATGTGGGATCTTCCCAGACCAGGGCACGAACCTGTGTCCCCTGCATCGGCAGGTGGACTCTTAACCACTGTGCCACCAGGGAAGCCCAATAAGCTTTAATTCTGAAGTAAGTTTAGAGTTACAGAGAAGTTGCAGAGTGTTTCCATATACCCTTCACCCAGTTTTTTCTAATGTCAGCATCTTATGCAACCTCAGTACATTTGTTAAAACTAAGAAATTAACATTCTACATTACGATTAACTAAACTCCAGACTTGACTCTGATTTCACCAGGTTTTCCACTAATGCCTCTTTTCTGTTCCAGGATCCAAGTAACACTGTATTAGCTGTCAAGCTTCCTTAGTCTCTCTGACTTTACCAATTTCTCAGACTTTCCTTAGTTTTCTTCACCCTGACAGTTCTGAGAAGCAGTGGCGAGGTATTGTGTAGAATGTCCCTGAACTGGGTATGTCTGCTCTTTCCTCATGATCAGACTGGGATCATGGGTTTTTAGGAGCCCAGAGGCGAAGCGAGTGTATACATAGCACCAACGTGACTTTTCCACTGGTGATGTTAGATTTGATCACTTGGTTAAGGCAGTAACTGCCAGGTTTCACTACTTCCCCATTGCCATACTCTATTCTTTGGAAGTGAGTCACTAAGTCCAGTCTACACTTAAAAGGACAATTAAGTTACAGTCCCTGCACGGAGGAATATCTGTCCACATATTATTTGTAATTCTCCTTTGTAACAAGCGTTCCTTCTCCCCACTTATTTATTTATTCAATCAACCATTTATATCACTATGGACTCAAGCACGTTTATTTAATATTATACTTTGTGTTACAATCCTGAAACTACACTTATAAAGGTATCACATTCTTAATGGCCCTTCATAAGCAAATGGGTATAACACAATTTGAAAAAGCAGTGCATAAAGGTACCGTAGAACTCTGTCATAGAGAGGTAGCAGGGACTCCTCCAGCCTGGCCACCCCGCTCTGCCTGGTGCAGAAGAGCATGCTATGCTGCCCCTGTGGGTGCCCTTGGCAGAGATGAAGTGTACACAGAGAAAAACTGCTAAGTTTACTAACTTGTAACCTAGTATTTCATCTGAACCCTCTGTGATCTTGTTTTTCAGTTATATTGCAGTTAAGTTATATGTGTTTTCTGTGTGCTATTTAGTTTATATATATTTATATAATTTAGGTAAAGAATGATATATTTTAGAATATTTAACCTGTCCCCAAATCTGTAATATAAATGAGCCAAGGCCTGAATTCTACATTTTGGGAGAAATTATCACCTAAATATGATAAGGATGACACACACACACCCCCGGGCACATACACGTCCCCATGATTATCTTATGGCCTGTTCAAATTCTTCATCCTTACTAAAGATCCAAATAAATCACGATATACTTATCAAACATTTGAAATAAGACATAATTAGTGTTTGTGGTTCCTAGTAGTGTTATAAGAAGAAAATTCTAAAAAAAAAAAAAAGAAAAATGAAAGAACTTGGGTAAACAGATTTTTAAAGCAAATTAAACTTCAAAACAAAAATTTTAAAGTGATAAAATTTGTAACTTAAGAGACTTTTTACAACCTTTAATGGCATAAACAAAGGATCCAGAAGTACTACACAATTTTAGTGCAGTGCCTGGGAACAAGGCAGGTCCGGAATTTAAAAGAAATCAAAATTCTTATGCTCTACAGTAGTGACCTTTTTATCTGGAGTTTTTGGTCCACAGTTAGAGGTACATGAGAATAATCAAACTCCATAAAACTGCGTGCAAGATTATGTGAATATACTCATTTTCTGAAGGGGATTATTAGATTCCTCAAAGAGAACTGTTGCTTCCAAAAAGTTAAGAACCACTGCTCTGCAGTGTTTCCCTGCACTGTGAACACTGATAACTAAAGAAGTCCACAACCCCAGCACCCCCCTCACCAGAGGGTCAGACCAGGGAGAACCATGCCACCAACTCTCCTCTGTGGGTGTGCAGCTTTTACATAAAATCCAAAAAGCTTCTTAATAATAAGCTGTTAAAACACAACCTGTTTATGAGTGAACTTTGTATTATTCATATATTCAAGGACCCGGGTCAACAGATTAGAGCTGGATGTTTTTGCAATGTAGAGAAACTGAAGAGAATTCAGAGAAAGGCAAAAGAAGGCGAAAGAGAAAGAGACCACTTGAAGAAACATTGTGAATAAGTTATAAGAAGGTGACTATTAAGTTATTTAAGTAAAAACAATCTGGGAGGGCTTCCCTGGTGGTGCAGTGGTTGAGAGTCCGCCTGCCGAGGCAGGGGACACGAGTTCGTGCCCCGGTCTGGGAAGATCCCACATGCCATGGAGTAGCTGGGCACGTGCGCCATGGCCACTGAGCCTGCGCGTGCGGAGCCTGTGCTCCACAACGGGAGAGGCCCGCATACCAAAAAAAAAAAAAAAAAAAGAAAAAAAGAAAGAAAACAATCTGGGAAACACTGAACAGTTTGTGATGATCATGGAAAGCCAATACAAAGATGAAAGTAAGATTAATTTGGGTTATTCAAAGCTGGAACGTTTGGTCCTATTTTCCACTGCTCTCCCCAGTGGTTTCTAATCTTTTTGTGAGTATAAGACCCACTACCTGTGGGGGGAAAAGGTACTATTATGCTATATCTCACAGAGAAAACTATACGAAATAACAGAAAGATACTGCTCAGATTTAACAGAAGTTGACATTTTTCCATATTTGCTTTCTCTCTTTTCAAAGAATAAAGCTTTTCAGATACAGATTTTTAAGTCCTACTCCTCTCATCCTTTTTCCTCTCACCATACCCAGACACAGCAGTTTGTAAAATGTCCATACTTGTTCTAGCCTTCCACAATGGACTCTACTTTTAGCACAAAAAATACAGCCCCCACCCCCAAATTTGTATTTTACTTAGTATTCATTAACAACAAAAAGACAAAAACCTACAATGCATTGTGTAGTGTCCTTTAAAATAATTTGTATTATTAATCAATGATTTTTCAAATTTACACAGGAATCCTATTTGGGAAACACTGTTGATTCTGTCCACAGAAAAATATTACATAGATTCACATAACCCGACCCAACCACTGCAATTTCCAATGGTTTCTCCTTCCACTGAGCTTTTGTAGGGTTTAGTGTCTAGAAAGGCTCGCCTGGTTAAATGATGCCTTATCTCAAATCACAGAGGAGCACATGGAAACCTGCATGGAAGACACGTGTGGATATAAATAAGAACTGAAAGAGATTTAAGATTTAATCCATAAGTGAACTGAAGTGGGATTTGCTTCCAAATAATACTGAGAAGGAGGGGGAGGAGAAGTACCTGAGAAACAGCTGGTGATGAACTGAGAACTACTGAAGCTGGGTGTTGGGTATATGGGGCTTCATTATTCTGCTTCAGCTTGTACTTTAAAAATTCCCCTCTAGGGCTTCCCTGGTGGCGCAGTGGTTGAGAGTCCGCCTGCTGATGCAGGGGACACGGGTTCGTGCCCTGGTCTGGGAAGATCCCACATGCCACGGAGCAATTAAGCCCGTGCGCCACAACTACTGAGCCTGTGAGCCACAACTACTGAGTCCGCGTGTCTACAGCCCGTGCTCTGCAACAAGAGAAGCCACCGCAATGAGAAGCCCGCACACTGCAACGAAGAGTAGCCCCTGCTTGCCGCAACTAGAGAAAGCCCACATACAGCAACGAAGACCCTACGCGGCCAAAAATTAATTAATCAGTTCATTTTTTTAAAAAAGTGAACCGCCAAAATTACTAAGAGCAAACACACTTCCTGGAACATTTACTTCCAAAGAAGAAACTACGTAAATGGTATAATTACATATTATTTGTGTCAAAGAGCAGTATCTGAAGTGCTATTTGAAATAACTTAGTTACCTATGTAAATTAAAACTGAACCAAGATTAGAAGCCAACATGCGACATGAGTAAACATATAACCTCCATCTAGGATGCTCTAAGTTACAAGCTTTAAATCATTATTTCTATTTATTTTTCTTTTAGTAAGAAGAGAGGGGAATGCAATTTATGTGAAAAGAGAGGGGGTAGATGGTACAGATTTCAATGGACTTGTTAGGGAGAGCTTTGACAATCAGAAAAATTGGCATCTAAGAGGAAGCGAACATTTATGTTGTCAGCTAGTGGCATCATTCTGGGGAATGCATTTCCAATAATTGGATACAATGGGTGATAAGGACTAAGGTGGATGAGGGCAGCACTTAATGCTGTCTACCGGGTCACCCCCGAAGTCACTTGAGTTTACATTCTGCAAGTGCTAAAGAATGGTGAGGTCTAGGTGCTAAAATCTGATTTTATTAACACCGAGGGGATGAGAAAATGAGAGGTTTTCCCCAATCCTTGTGCCAGCCTCAAAAAACTTTTAATCTAAATTTTTACAGACTATAGCTACCCAGAACACCTGGACGTAACCCTCAATCACTCTAATGCTTCTCTTTAGACTCAAATCCACAGGGATAAACCAGGTCACAACAACTCATATGAAAAAAATTTAGAAGAACAAAAGAAATGACCCACTTCTTAACCTGTCATAAAGGACTTTAAATCCTGGTAGAGTCATTATATAATTCTAACCCTCACTTAATAACGTTTCCTGAACAAACAAAACAGTATTAAGAAGCATCTTCTTACAGCCATAAGGCTCGCTGGGAAGAAGGCAATGAGTCAACTCCGGTTTGTGTCCTTCTTGGATGGGGATCAAGTAAGAAGAGCGTTCTCCTAGAGAGTATCCTGGAATGGGGGCCGTCCTTTGACAGAGTGTTTTGTATTTACAGTTTGAAATACTCTTTGGAGAGTTAGGCACACTTAAAAAGGAAGAGGAAACGCAATTAATATTTACTGAGCACTCACTATGGACACTAGGAGTCACCACATCTGCTCCTCACAGCCGTACTGTAACACAGATATTACCATCTCCAGTTTGCAGATGAGAGAAACTTGATTCAGTGTTAGTAACCTGCCCAAGGCGACTAAGCCAAGAAGTGGCAGAAACAGGATCTGACCCAAACCAAATGGTAAAGCTCATTCTTCTCACTACAAACTGTGTGGACTAAAAGAAGTGGACGCCTGAGGATCTCTTTCATAGAATTTAAAAACTAAAAGACAATAAAAAAGGGAAGACAAAAAAGAAGAGTTTACATTCTATATAGGGAAAAAATATTTCCAAATGTCTATTTGCGGAGATCTCTTAACAACTACTCCTCTTTGAAAAGGGGAAAGCATCCTACAGGCTTATGTGTACATACTGGGCATATGAAAAGAAAAAATTTACACTTACCATTGGTAGACAATAAAAACTGAGCAGCATTTTTCTGGGGTAACCACCTAATTTTGTTGATCTTTTCTTCTATTTCTAAACTTTTCAAGTAGTCAAACTCTGGTTCATGGCTCTGAAAGGTGCTGTAAACATTATATTCTCCTCTGCTATGAGACTGGATTTTGTTCTAAAATGGAAACAAAAATATTTGGACCAGTTGAGAAATATTTCAAATTAATCAAACATATATATCAATTCCAACAGACCCTGAATCTTATATACATTATATTGTTTTTTATATTTAAAGGCTTTCAAGGAATAAATACAAATGCTTAAAAGAAAAAAAAGGAAAAGCTAAATAAAGCCTAATAATTAGGCCCAATTCATGAGGAAAAGTGTTATTAAAATACAGATCATTTTGCTGATTACTTTACCTTTGTATATGACATAGTACAGAGGACTACTGAGCATACATGACAAAAAGTAAAGATTAAATAAGAAAAGCTCATCAGGAACAGCTGGCTGAGGCACACCTTCTTTCTCTGCCCACTGTTTTAAGGATCAATTCTCTATCTGTTACTTAACATGATGTATTGTCCTCTTCCTTTCCCTTTCTCATGCCTGCCTTTAGGTCAATTCACTGCTGAAAAACTCTTTAAGAGAAGAGCTCTCATAAATGCAACAGCACATCTGACCCCAACCCCCCCACACCCAAGACCAGAGTTACAGGGCTCTATTACCCACTGAGCCCACATTCAGCAATACCCAGCAGGCCTCACCCCATCAACAACTGCGTACCCTCCTTGAATTATCTTTCTTATATTATGAGCCTAGCACGCACCAACGATTTATTTCACTTAGTATCAGTGTGAGTGAATATAATTTAAGCTATTGGATAAAGAGACTACCTGTGAACTTCTTCAGTTAACACTACCTTAGCAAAAATGAGAATTATAACCATGTTCAGAATTTTACCTTTTAATCCATCATCACATAATCAAAAACCTTTCCACCAAAAACATTAAATGTCTAGTTCAAAAAACCAATGGAAAAATAGTTTAAAAGATATTATTTATAATGAACTGTTTTAAGTAAAAGTGAATTAGCAAATGAAACGTTTAAGATTACTTGATAATAAGAATGACCTGTTAGTCACTATTATTATTTCTCCTTATAAAAAGAAAACTTTATTGAATCATCATCTTGTAAGTGTATGTTTTGGGTTGTTTTTTTCCAGTAGCTTGATTAATCTGGATCGATCATTCATGGTTACAGTTGTATGTGGGTCCTCTGACAGTAGTATCAATTATTACTGAGTGGGTTTGCCAATACTGAGAATGCAGAGCATACCACAGAACATAATCCACACTGGGGATATGGAAAGGGTAAAAATCAAACTCAGAACCTTGGTCTCATTACCATACTCTTACACCAAATCTGATAACCTGATCCATTTAATATGTACATGCTAATATCTCACCAGAAGAAATTCTGTAAGTCTTCCATTGAAAGTTACTCAGTCTCTAAACGTTTGTCATGTTACTCTCCAAAAAAAGCTACAATATAATGCAGTGTTTTTAACTTAAGCTAGAGACTACAGTACTATGTACACTAGGGCCCAGAGGTACAGAGAAATTTAATAACAGAATCTCTAATTTCTTGTAACTTGTGTGTGTGAAACTTTAGTCAAAAGTAGAAACTAAGGTCCATATAATTCAGGTAAGCAAAACAAAGAGCCAAGGTAAGCAAGGCCAAGGTATATGCAGAAACTAGGTTTATCAGGGTCTGTATTTGATGATAAGGAAAAGAAAAGCACAACCATATAAAAATATTTTCTACAACAGAAAAATAACATCATCCTTAAGACTCAGGAATAACCAAATGGGTCTAAACATGATCTATTACATGATTCAGAAACAAAATCATTGGAGGTGTTTGGCCGTCTCAATGGATTGCAAGAAGCACTGTTTCTTTCCGACAGGAAAAAAAAAAAAAAAAAAAAATATATATATATATACACACACGTATATATATATACACACACACACCACACAAGGAGAAAGTTACAGCTGACAAGTTAAAGATACATGACGCATGTGCACTCTCTCCTGAAACTATGCTAAAATTACAGTGAATTTTTAAAGACAATGGATAAGAACAAAAAATAACAGGAGAGATGACAGCAGCAGTAACAAATGAAAGATGTCATAAAACAGATGCCATAAAACAATGACTGACTTAACGAACTGCAGAGCCAGACCCTAGCAGACAGTGGGATTTTCCCTAAAACGTGGGGAGGGATGTTTACATTATAATGGTTACCACAGCACTGTTCTCTGCATGAACTAAGTACACTGAGCAAACAAAAAAAAGGAACATAATCCCATGTCCTCCAACACTGTGCCACTCGAACAAGAATGCATCAAAGTCAAAGAAGGCTATTTTATTTTTGTTTTAAAAACTCTCCTACAATCAGAGAGAATCATGATACATTCTAGAATGCTTCAATATTTGGGTTTTTCTTGCACAGCTTTCCAGAGTCTATTTTCTTAACCCCACAATCTATCTATGTGAAATCTTCTTAATGAATTTAGAAACGCTTCATCCCAACACCTGTAATAGTATCTGGCATATAACAGGCATTCAATAAAAATTTTCTAAATGAACAAAAATAAAAGCAAAAAGTATGAATAAAAGGTGGCACTAGTATGGTAAAGGGAAGCTGGAATTAACCTGGCAAATGGAGTATGGTGCAGAAATTACGAAGAATGGGTTAGATGCACACACAGCAAGACAGAAGGTTCTCGGAAACACAGCTCTTAGTGATAAAGTAGGACACAGAATGAGGTGCAAGACAGAGTATTCTTCACATACATTAAAAAAACACAGTCCACAAAAACAAAATCACATACTTCAACATGGACAGAAACAGAAGCCACAAATACATAAAGGATACTATATCATGATCAAGTTTTAAAGCCACAATGAAGACAGTGTGGTGCTCACATGAGAACTGACAAATATACCAATGGAATAGAACAGATGGCCCAGAAACAGGCCTGAATTTGGACAAAAGTGGCACTGCTGAGCCAGGATGGTCTTCTCACTAAATAGTGTTTGGTTAATTGGCTATTCATATATAATAAAACAAACCCTGACCCCTACTACACCACAAGCCACTCATGTAAACTGATTCCAGGTGAATCAGAAATATAAATGTGAATATGTCTAGTACAACACTGTCCAAGAGAGCTTTCGGCAAATAGCCTGTATCTGTGCTGTCCAATATGGTAGCCACCAGCCGCACGTGGTTACTGAGCACCTGAAATGTAGCTACTGTGACTAAGGAAGTGAACTTTAAATTTTACTTCATTTTAATTAATTAAAATTTAAATAGCCACAGGGATCTACTAACTACCATACTAGAGAGCACAGATCTAAAAGATAACAGAAATGTAGATCTTCCTGGACCTTGGGGTAGAGAAGTATTTCTTATACAGGACAGAAAAAGCAGTTAAGTCTAGAGAAAACATTGATAAACTGAATTATATTAATATTAATAACCTCTATTTGTCAAAAGATACCATTCAGAAAGAATGAACAGGTAAGTCACAGAATGGAAGATACTTCCAACAAATACAACTGACAAAGGGTTCATATATTCAAAAAGTGCAAATAGCCTACAAATCAATAAGAAAAATGACAAACAACCCAGCAGAAAACAAGTGCAAGAGATTTCAGTAGGCACTTCACAAAAGATGATATCCAATGGCCAATAAACACATAAAAAGATGCTGAACCTTGGCGTTAATCAAGAAAGGTACAAATTAAAACCACCATAAGATACCCTCATAACCTCCCAATATTTAAATTTTAAAATTACTGACAATACAAAGCATTGGCAAAGATGTGGAACAGCCAGAATTTTCATATATTGTTCATGAGAATAAAATTGGCAGAACCACTTTTTACTGTGTTGTCTACTAAAACTAAATGCCTACCCCCCCATGACATGATAATTTCATGCATGGCAACGTGCACCAAAAAATCTGCTCAAGAGTGTTCGCAGCAGCATTATTAAGCCATGAACTGAAACAACCACAATGTCTGCATCTATTTGTAACAGAATGGACAAATTGTACAGTTTTACAAAAGAACATTATATAGCAACGAAAGTGAGCAAATTATTACACAAACATAAACTGAGCAAAAAGGCCAGACATAAAATACTTACTGTAGATTCCATTTATAAAAAGTTCTATAACTACAAGCCAAACTAAGTGTTAGAAGACAGGTTTACAAGGGGAGGAAAGAGAAAGGAATGACTGGGAAGGGGAATGAGAAAGGTTAAAGGAAGGATGGGAAGTTCTGTGTGTGATAATCCACTAGTGTTTTGTGCACTTTTCTGTGTATATTTCAATACAGCTTTTAAAAAAATACAGCATAGAAACTGTGCAGCCACTTTGAAAACTGTATGGGCGTTCCTCAAAAAAATAAAAAAATAGTGTTTCTCTGGTGACACAGTGGTTAAGAATCCGCCTGCCAATGCAGGGGACACAGGTTCGAGCCCTGGTCCGGGAAGATCCCACCTGCCACGGAGCAACTAAGCCCGTGCACCACAACTACTGAAGCCCGTGTGCCCAGAGCCCGTGCTCCGCAAGAAGAGAAGCCACCACAATGAGACGCCTGCACAATGCAACAAAGAGTAGCCCCCGCTCACCGCAAGTAGAGAAAGCCCACACACAGCAACAAAGACCCAGCGCAGCCAAAAATAAATAAATTTATTAAAAAAAAAAAAAGTACTTCCCTAGCGTTCCAGTGGTTAAGACTCCACGTTTCCACTACAGGGGGCACAGGTTCGATCCCCTGTCAGGGAACTAAGATCCTGCATGCCACAAGGCACAGATGGGGGAAAAAAAAAACAAACAACTACCATATGATCCAGCAATCTGGTATATATCCAAAATAATTGAAAACAGAATCTCAAATGAGATTATTCACAATAGCTAAGAAGTGGAAACAACCTAAATGTCCATCAACTGATAAATGAATAAAGAAAATGTGGTGTGTGTGTGTATAATATACATTTAATGGAATATTATTCATCCTTAAAAAAAAAAAGGAACTCCTGTCATAGGCTACAACATGGATGAACCTTAAGGACATTATGCCAAGTGAAATAAGCCA